TTTTTCAATTTCTTTGGACCAGTATTCCCATGGCTAATTCAATAAATACTGATAACAAGTTGTATTTGTATGTGGTTACATAATATATCATAAGAGAAAATGTTTCTCCAAGATTCTTTGTAAGTTTGGTCTAGGATTGCCTAAAAACTGGAAATGACGTATAGAACAATTCCATAGTCATAAAATGAAATTTTAAAATCTGCTTTCTTCCATAAGTGATCTTCCATACTTAATCATTCAAGAGCTGATTATTCAGAATGTGTAAAACACAAACCAGTTATCTTCTTTTCCCTTCTGCTGCCTGAATTTTGGTCATTTCACAGATCATTAGTATTCTCTCTCTGGGAAAATAAAAGCAAATGTAGCTCAAACTAGTATTTTCAACTTTTTATGTAAAGGTTTATAGGAAGGGTTATGATTACTGGTTAACATGTCACTTTCCTTTAATAAGTAATGGGTTAGGCTCCACTGGACATGGGGGAAGAATTTAAAATGTTTAAGATGTCCCTGCCTATAAGACTTTTACAATATAATTGGGGAGACATGTTTGTATACAGTAAAATATTTATGCAAGGAAATATATATTGAACAACATGAAAAAAGTGTGATCATACAAACATAATGTATAAAAGAACTTTATAGACCTAGCATGATTTAGAAAAGAAAGAACATAGTATGGACTGACAAGGTTGTCATGGATATTCTCAATAAGATAGTGAAACTTGAGTTAGATATCAAAGAATGAGTGGAATTTCAATACAAGAAAAGAAAAAGAAAGAAGAAAAATCTGCACAAAGAAGAAAACACAAGAAAATCCCAGAATTCCACAGTCCAAGGCCCATATACAAGGTATGCCCATAATGTATCCAGCCATATAATATGAAAAATAGAGACATATATTGAAGAAGATACATGAAATATTGTACACAAGACAATGATGCCTCAGTCCCCTTCAAAGTAGGCACCTTGGGACTTCATACAGTTCTCCCAGTTGCCATCAGCTGCCCCATCATATTTTCCTGAATCTCATCAATGTTCTGAAATCTCTTCCCTTTCAAAGGTGATTTTAGTTTTGGGAAAAGCCAGAAGTCACAGGGTGCCAAATCTGGGCTATAGGGGGCTGAGTCACCTTGGGTTTCGCCAAAATCTGAGTTTCACCAAAAAACTCTGCATAAGACAGGATGCATGAGCAGGCACATTGTCGTGATGAGGCTGCCAATCACCAGTTATCCACAGCTGTGGCCTTCTGAATCATCCAAATAATTTGCATGGGGGAATGTTCAAGCTTAATGCAAAATTTGATGCAGATTTGTTACTCTATTTGTTCAGTCACTTTGAATGCAAAGTCCACACAGTACACACACTCACTCGGTGGCATCTACTGCCCCCACTGACTAGTACAGTGAAGTCATCATTGTTCACACATGCCTGCACATTCCTGTCCACTCTCCTTGGCTGCCAGGTTATATCGATATCACATGAACTGTTCTTATTGTACTAACAATGGCTGGACCTTTTCCAGACAGACTTCATATACACGCATGCGGAGTATTGAAAATAATATAACAAACTTGTCTTCCCCACCCAGCTTTGTCCAACATTAACTTTTTGCCATACATGCTTCAGAAACACTTAAAAAAAAACCATAATAATAGATAGTGACTAGGGTCTTCTGCATCCTCTATCATTCTTCCTCAGCAAAGGTAACAACTATCCTGAAGTTGGAGTTTATTATTATCACAAATATTTAAAAATGTTTATCATACATGGAAATAGGTGGTATTGCTTCATGTGTTTAAACTTAATATAAATGGCAGCATACTTTGTGTATCTCCTGCCATTTTTTCACTCAATATTCCACTTTCTGAGGTTTGTGCATACATATTCTAGTTCCAGCCCTAGTTTATTTATTTTAACTACAATATAGTATTTTACTATGTGACCAGGCAACAATTTACTTATCCCTTCTCAGCTTGATGAACACTTAGGTCATTTTCAATTATTTCCCAGTTATAGACAATGCTTCAAGGAATATCCATTTACACGTCTTCTTATGCATTGAAGGGAGTTGGGTATACGAGTTATATAGAAAAGTGGAATTGTTTGATTGTAAGATAAGGATATCTTTAGCTTTAATAGATATTGCTAAATTGCCCCCCATTGTGGTTGTACCAATTTATTCTCCACACAGTGGTGCATAAGAGTTCCCATATCTTCCTTATCTTTGCAAGATGCTATCACTGGCATGGAACTGCCAGGATACCCTGAGTCGATTCTTCGTATACACTGGCTGTCTTTGTGGGTGATGCTCAGCTTCGGAACTCACTATGACCCAGCTGAGCCAGAAGAGCAAAGAAAGGAGTGGTGTAGTAGTTGGGATTGGGCGCACGTTTTATTCACTTTCACATCTCCAATATCTAGCACAACCTGGAACGTAGTGAGCAAGGCTCAGGAGATGTGAAATTGACGAATTAATTATCAACCTTGATCAGCTTCTAAGCTTAAATTTCCCCATCTGCAATTATGGATAATAATACAAGGAGTCATTCCAAAAATAGAATGAGACATAAACGTGAAGACATTCTTGTTATGGATGTCAGTAATATTATTTTCATTTTCAGTGCTTAAATAGACAAGGTCCATGCACATTTTCTCAGACCTGCACTTAGAGATATCACGATTCTACTGTCTTTATTTGTATGACTCAAATTTACATCATAATTTAATGCTTCTTGCACTTTCTAAACTTGTCACTATCCTTGCAATGGCTCCTCCTTCAGGACCTTTCATCTCCTCAAATTCGACAGGCCTAAATAAGTGAACTCACATTCATTCCAAATTTAGCTCCCTCTCAGGACTTCCGTATTTTCATTGTTGGCATATTAGAAGCATGTTTATCGGCCAGGTGTGGTATTATCAAAAGAGGAAGAGAATCACGCCAGCGAGACTAATTAAGAGGCTTGCACCACCAAGCAGAAAACAGATTGCACTCAGATTTGCAGACATAGTGTTTTGCGTTTATTTGGAATGCCCAGAGAATGCCTCTTTAGGTAAGAGGACACATAAACCTTAAATATTGGCATCAGCAATGTGTTACACTTTTAGGCATTAAAAATTCATGCAGACATTGGTTCTCAGTTAACGTTTTTGACATTGAGAAAGAGAAAACTGTGTGTATGAACTCCACATTTATGCTTTTAAAAGGCTATTCACGAATTTCATAAAGGAGCCTAGCCATTTGTAAATAAAATACAAAGCAGCAGGAACTTTTCATGAGTTTCCTTCCTTCTGTTCCTTTTACGATGAGAACAATTATTCCATCAACACATGTTTAAACTATTCTGATGGTATCAGATGCTCAGCTAGGCGGGTTTGTACTACCAGATGAGTCCTAATTTAAACATACTTTTTTTCAAAAGCATCTTTAAGTAACCCAGATGATCAGATTCCCAGGCTGAAGTTTTGGCTTCTAATACCAAGAAGAGGCATGCCTTGATCCAGATAGGTTTTGCCCTGAGTTTAGACCCAGCAAATGAATCTGCTTCCTGGGTCTGGCAGAGATCTGGGTCAGTTTGAGAAATGGGTTACCTTCATATCACCTTGGGCTGTGAGCAGGGGGTAAAGAATAACAAAAAAGCTCCTAACATATGATTTAAATTACTCATCTGGGCTTTTATTTCTATTTTGGGGGGCTTTGATCAAGAAAAACGCCAATCTAGGTTAAAATTGAATTAGCGAATTTTTTTTCCCTAAGAGATGAACATTCTAGATCTATGGGTACATGGCTTTACTACAAGTTTTGTCGGTATTGGGGGCTGAAGTCACCCTAAGGGAATAAAAGGAATTAGAATAAAGCTTCTAAAGAAAAGGCCAGTAATTACACTCTGGGCAGTAATCTACTCTGGAAACACAGTATATTAACCATATTTGTTCTGAACCAACTCAGTGTGGCCCAGCAGTGGCCTCACTCTGGATTTGGAACTGGGGTACGGAGCAGTGCCCTTTAACTGAGGACATAAAAAGAATCTTAGGCTCTATGTTATCTGAAAGGGAACCGGGGAACTCTATGCTCTAACCTATCTTGGGTAACAGATAAATATAATCAGGAGCTTCATTAAAAAGATGATCACAGCATCTTTCGGTCTATCTCTTCCCCAGTCTGCACTTCCTTACAATCCTTCAATATTTTATTGTCTATTTTTCACATAGCTTGCAGCCTTAAGGATTAGTTGTGTCTAAAAGGATATCAATTACCTACAGTGCAGACCAAAGGGCACCCCCTTGAAATCCCTGCTTCTCAGGAATATAGGAGGTTCCTGTCTCTATGTAAGGTTCTAGGTTCTTGTCTTACCCGTCTTTGCAAGATCTCACCTGGTAGCAATACTGAGTAGAGGAACTCTGTGCTCTGTTTTGTTGGTGGTATGAAAAGATGATATCTGGTCTGATAAACTGTTGGCAGGGCAGGACCTTTCCAGTAAGATATATGAGACCAGGTTTCTTTCTTGTCCTTGGCATTTTATGGCAATCAGGTGCAAGGACACCTCTGATGATCTCATTCAGAAGGAAGCAAATATGTCTTTTGGAGATGTTTCCTGATTAGGAGCCAGTGGCAAGGTTGGATCTGAGGATTGTATGATTATAGATTACAATATAAATGGCATCCTCTGAGTTGGGCACCGTGGTGGCCCTGAGTTTGTTGCAGCTATTAAAAAAATGAAATCAAAGTTTAGGTGACAATATAGTATTCAGATAATAGGTAGTTATAATCCTTCTATGGTCACCACTAAATAGACTGCATTTGTAATATTGAGCTTAAGCCTTAGCGCCAGAGTTTAGAAAGATATTAATATATTAAATGCATCCATAAGAGGAGTCCAGGTGAGCTATATGAAGATCATGATACCTGAGAAAGGTTGGAGGGGATCTGGGAGAATACAACTAAGAGGAGACATAATAGCAGAAGAGGGAATATGAATTGTGATGGTTAAGTCAGCACTGACCTCCATAATGATGAATCTAATGACACTTTTCTGTCTCCCTCCTCTCAGTCTCTCATTGACATTCAACACTGTTGATAACACTCCTTCTTTGCTTCATTGATCCAATTATACTAGTTCAGCAGACGATAAAATTGAATTAGAAATGCAAGATTCTTATATGTGGTCACATCTGTGAAGGATAAAGAGGAAAGGGTGGGAAGAGTCTCAGACTGCAATGTGTGTCTTAATGCCTGCGATGAAAGAAGGGAGAAGGAATGGGAAGCCTGGGTCTGCAAGGGCAGCTCTGAGAAAGGCTCAGTCAGGCCAATGGGGAGCCTAGAGTAAAGACTGCCCATACGAGGAAACTGCATTGAGTAAGAATTACGGACATGCTCAGTCACTGGTTGGGAGCATCCTCAGATGAGGGGAACAGACACCTCTGCAGGAAAGCTGTGATGGGTCCCAAAGGTGTGATGGCTGGATGTTTTCAGACAAGTACACTCTTCAGAGCAGGTGCCTCCTTGAAGGGAGCCCTGCGTGGTTTCCTCCTCTGGCTGCCACACCATTTCACTTCCACATACCATTCTGAGTGGCACCTTCCTAACCTCTTTTGCTGGATTCTCTCCCTTTGCTCACATTCTAAATGTTGGGGTTCCTTAGGAACCCCTTTTTTCCTATTCCATTTATCTTCCCTATGAGAATTCATCTCAATTCACAATTTCAAGTACTACCATTATTTAATGTGGATGCTAATTTTATATGTTAATTCAGGCCATCATTTTCTCTCACCTGGACTATTGCAAGGGTCTGCTAACTCTTCTCTGTTCTTATCTTTGGTCTTGCCATCAGCCTCCAATTCATTCTGCATGCTGCAGCTAACTGGACATGTCTGAGGCTCAGAGAAGATCATGCTACTCCTGTACTAAAAACTCCCTCAATAGCTCCCTTTTGTTCTCAATAAGAAATCTAAATTATTTAACATGATTTACATGCCCCTTCATGGACTGGTTCCTGATAACCACTCTAGCTTCATCTCTTACTCACCCCAAACACAGCACCTTTCATTTCTCTGAATGTTACATTTATACCCATGGTACAGAGTAAACATTCTTGCCTGGCTAATTCTCTAATTATCTTTTAAGTCTCAGCTTAGAAGTTCCCTCCTTTGTGAAGATTTCTATAACCTGCAAAGACTAGATTCAGTGCCCTCCTATATGATCCCAGAAATTACCTGATAAAAGACAAAGAGGGCAGTTAAACATCATGGTGCTAAATATAAAAAATGTAATAAAAGAAACAATGTTTCACATATCAGGACTTTTCTTGATATATATACTGCATTAGATAGAAAGGAATACTATGGTAAATAGTTATACATGGGTGATAGTTCTCTCAAGGGATATGACAGGCAAACATCCTCAATCCCGTAACAACCCCACCCCCACTCCCAGCCCAACTCCACGCATTTGGAAATATGTGTAGCTATTCTTGTTGTTGATGCCAGTATGGCTGGGAGTAGTCTTGGCATTGGGGGTAGAGAAGTTATAATGCATGGGGACTGTCCCATTCTCCTACCCACAATGCTAATAAAACCTCCATTGCAAAACACTGTAAGAGGTAGTATGCAAATCTGGGGGCAGAGTTGAACTGCTGAGAATAACACAGTGGAAGCTGAGAGCTAACACCTGAAGATTTTCATCTTCATCCACTCCCCATGCAGAGCTCCACTTCACCTATACATAAATGTTGAATACATGCTTTTAAAAATATTCATTGAAAGAAAAATTTTAAAATATGTATTGGTTTAAAGAGCCAAATTATTAGCCTAAGCAGCACCTAATATTTCCTGGTTCTGCTTCCCTGCATCCCAGTATTAATCTCACTATAAAAGGATTATCTGAGAACTTGTCTATACCCTCATCTTGAGTTCAGGAATCATGTCCAATTGTAATCACAGGGATGTAATAGAATTTGGCACACGTAAGAAACCCAACATATATTCCTGAACTATGACTCATAAAATTAAAAAATTAGCCCTGAAATCTTTTCTAAATGTCAACCTTACATGTTTATCACTAATTTTACATTTCCAGTGGAACACGTCAAACTTAACACACACAAAAGAGACTCATCTGCTTTGATCCAGAGCTAAAACCATCCTCAAATAACCCCAGTTCCTTTTGTTATGGCAAATGTTATCACCTTGTCGGGATCCTCCCAATTATCTCAGCTAGAAGCCTGCATGTCACCCATGTCTCTGCCTGCTGTCTCACTTCCCCAAACCTGTTCATTCCATCTTCCAATTATCTCTTGGGTTCTTTTCCCTTCTCTCCTTCCTCAGCATCTTCAACCTTAATTCAGGGTCTTCTATATATGTTATTGCATTTGCTTCATAAACCACATCTCTATTCCCCACCCCAACTGTCCTTTAAAACATTCTAAAATGTTAAAAAAATTAATACTCCATGGGTTTACTGTGGTGCCAGGCACTATACTGCCTTTTACATGTATTTTCTTTTTGACTCTTGATGGCAGCCTCAGTTTGAAATAATTTCCCAAGGTCATTCAGTAAGTGGACAGAGACAAGATTTAAACCCAAGTGGCCTAGCTCAGAGCTCTGCGAGGCGAAGCTATATAGTCTCCGGGAACCCTCTGTCATACTGTTTCACATACATGTCTGTGTCTGATTCCCTTCCCCCTGGTGGATGCCCTGCTTGTGGTAAGTCTCTTTTGACCTAGGGCTTGCTCAGTATTCCTTTCCCAGAGCTGTTGATGTACCGAAAGTGAGCAGTGGTGATGTTCAATGTGAGTGGTGGTTGTGAAACAGAGCTGGTACAGAGTCCAAGGAATTCCTAAGGAACTGACCTATGAGAGGTAGACTAGCTGGAGAGTGTTTCGGATATGCTGGCAACTAAGTACTACTGCCCATTTGAGCCTTTATGTGCTTCCTACTGTGCCATGCTTACATGGGCAGGTGCTTTAAGTTGCTGCAGCTAAGTGGCCATCCTCAAGTATAGCACCACTTCCTCATTTGTCTGGCTAACTCCAATGCATTCTTCAAATTCTAGCTTTATCATCATTCATATCTTCCTTTGTACATTAATGTCCCTCCTTTATGCTTCTCACAGTTTTCAGACTGCAAACTCCTTGATGGCAAGAGTATGGCTTTTCTTCTCTGTATTCTATACCACTAGAATCTAATAATCATTGACTGTATGTGCCTTCATTACGAGGAGGCAGATTTTGGCCTAAGAGAAATTTTAAAGAGTACATTGTAACGTAGAGAGAGCACGGACTAGCAGCTAAGAGTCTGGACTTCATGTTATACTACCTGTGTTCAAATTTCAGTTTTCTGTTTTACCTTGAGCAGTTTAATCTGTCTGAAAAAATGCAGACAATACTACCTATGTTGTCTAGTTGTTATATGAATTAAATAAGATACATGGAAAGCAATTGACTCAGTTGCTGGCAACTTATAAACACTTAGTATGTGAGATATCACCATTTTTATTATGTTGTTATTATGGTCATTCAGTAGCACTATCTCAAAATGAGGCCACTCACTTTGGAAGCAGTGAGTTCCCTTCTAGTCATTTCATGTGCCCATAGGTTCTTAGAACTGTGGGGAAATGACATATAACAAAATCAATTTTACCACAGGTTAATTGATATGAATGAGAGGTAAGTTACTAGGGCATCTCATTAACATAACAAAATGTTGAACAAATTGACGTTACTCAAGGACCCACTGTATTCAAAGAGCAGTAAACCCAAGAGATGCTGTAGAAGCAGTTTTGACTTCGACTGGATGATTTCTAAGGATGCTTCTAATCATAGAAGAGGGACTATTTCTCTGATTCAAAGAAAGTGTGATCACTAGTGTTACTTCTAGCTAAGTGAAAGAGTGTTAGAATAGAAAGACATCAGATTTGGCTGTATGTACAAACTACAAAGCAAAAATATTTTATTCTTTGTGAGCAGTCAATTGTACAAGCACTTTTATTTATGTTGAAGCTCATATGGCATATCAGGCCCTCACATGAAAATTCATCTCTTTTCAAGAGGACTAGCTTGGCCCTGCCAACACAGAACAAACAAAACTTGAAAGACTGTTCTAGCCCTACTGAAATGTCTTTTCCCTTTGAAAGAAGTCTATTAGTGATGCAAATGCAAAGTTATCTGCACAGATGATAATCCTAGCAAACAAAACAGTGAAACCATTAGAACGGTTTTGTGCAGCATTCAGTCCTGAGAATCCCGAGAATTTGGCATTCCCTCATTCAAAAGGCAGAGAAAGAAAGCAGAACAGTTCCTATTTGGAATAGTTTGTTAGGTCTGCTTACCTGAATCCTGGGCTAATTATCCTCACATTTAGCTTAAAGGGGCCAAACGATCCTCCAAATGTGGACAAGCAGAAGGCAGGCCTGCAGTCAGGGTCCCCAGCAAGTGTCTTAAACAGGCAAAAACAGGATCTCTGGCCATGGAATAACATTTAGGAGTTTACTTCTCAAGATACCAGAGCCTTAAAGTAAATCCATCTAGAAGAAATCCAATGACGTGTAGTCATTAGGCAGCAATTTAAGTAGTATGCTCATATAACTGATGCTTTAAAATAATTAAAAATTAGACAATTGAGAAAAGGCTATATGTATAGGTGAATAGATGGTCATATTCCAATATTTTTTAGTCAATAGATACTCAAACTTCTTTGGGAATTTAGGTACGCAATCTTACCATAGGCAAAAGGATTGAAAGGTTAAAAATGTATGAAGCAGTTAACCATCCGAAGTTTGCTTGACTATTGTTTGATTAGATTTATTTTATCCGGAACAGGTTTGATGAGATCTTGTTCCTCATGAGCCAGCAGGTATTAGGGAATATTAATGGTCAGAGGGTGTGGTACCTTAGAGTATTAGGTAAGTATTTCTGAAGCAACACTCCAGACTGGTATTGCCGAAGTGGCCATCACCTGCCTGATTAAAGCTTTTGGAAATGCCTAATAGACAATTTACTGAGATCAGAAAATTAATCCTCCATCCCCACATGCTTTCTTGGCCAGGCATTAACAGCTGGCATTGGTGTCCACACAGACCAAATGCATTGCTCCCAATCTGTGTCCTAAGCACGGTGGAGCTTTGAGTAGGTAAAGAGCTTCCAGATCATCACGTGTTTACATTTCTGGTGGGACTTGTCCACCCTCTCCACCACCTCTTTGCAAGTTTGCACGACAGCTTGCACAGTCCCCACCCGAGTCTTTGAAAATCCAGACGTCTCTGGTGAGGAGGTCAATCAATCATTGCCCTGCCTGCCTCCCACGCCCTCTACACGGGCTGGCTGGCGGCCGCTCTGCGTGTTTTAGCTCCCAGAGCTTCCCATGCCCAACCCGCTCCACTCGCCTCTTTGCCAGCCCTCGTGGCTTGTCCTCTTTTGCACCCTGGCAGGCCAACTCCAAGGGCCCCAGTGCCTGTATCGGAGCAATCACTGCTCACTGTTCTCAGGGCGACCTCTTCCCCGCAATCCCAATAAATCTGTAGCACTCCTATGTGTTCTCTGCGTACCTCCTCAAGTTTAGGATTGGGAACTGATCCGGAAACGTCAAACTTTGTCATTAGGGGAATCAGAAGTGCACAAGAGCTACTTTTTGCCTGTCCTTCCCGTAGTATTTCGGGGAAGGAAAATCTTTTCAGGATTTCCGCACGGCCGCAAACGGGAAAGACGCGGCCACTCCGAACGATTATAGCCCAGCTGCCCGCTCTGGCCCGATAGGTGCGCAGAGTCGGAGCGCGCACGAGCCAGGCGCGCGCGGGGCCGGGGTGCGCTCCCTCAGGGATCGCGGCTGCGCAGTCGGGCGGGAGCCGGGAAAAGGGGGAGGAGGCTGGAGGAGCAGGAGTAAGGGGAGGGGGAGGAGCGGCGAAGGCGGAAGCCATGTTGGAGTTTCACCCGGAGCGAGGGGCTGCGAGCGTTCTCCTCTCCCTGTGGGTGTGACCGGGGTTCGGCGCGGCTGCGGGGGGCGGGGACGGTTAAGCCCGGTCGGCGTCGTCCGCGGCGGCGGCGTGAGGGGAGCGGCGGCTACAGCGTGGAACCAGGCGATTGTGACCTCCAGGGGAGCCGGGGGCCGGCCGCGGCTCCCAGTCTCCGTGTGGCCCCCTGAGCGCCCCCCCTCCCCTGCCCGGGAGGGAGGCGGGGGGCACCTGGGGCCCGCCATGAACCCCTGCTTCGATCTGTCCCGCCGGAACCCGCAGGAGGACTTCGAGCTGATTCAGCGCATCGGCAGCGGCACCTACGGCGACGTCTACAAGGTAAAGACCAGGGGCCGCGCGCCGCCGAGGCCCGGGGGTCCGGACCTGCCGCGGGGAGGGCCGGGGGGGCGGCGGAGCCGGGGCGGCGGAGTCCGCGCTGCCCCTCTGCGGGAGGCGCTGGCGCCTGGGAGCTGTGGGGGAGGCGGAGCGGGCGCCCCGGGCTTTGCTGCCTTGGAGCGAACAAAGGGCCAAATGTTTAACCCCGAGACCTCCAAGTCCTTACCTGAGCCCTGCCGTGGACGTGCGTTTCCCGGGAGGGCTGAACGCGATCGGGCAGCTCTGCTCACCGTGGCGCAGAAAGGGGCTGGGCGTTCGTTGCTTTGGCAGGGTCAGTGCGACAAACCAGTCAGCAGGGGTTTGGCGTGTGTCAAACGTGCGAGCTTCAGAAGGACCTTGCATTATCCGCTGTCGGATACTTTTCACCAGGCCCCGTTGTAGTTATTACACTGAGCAATCTCCATCGACAGCCCCTCAATTTTTAGGCTTTAACATTCGCATACCAGTGTCTTTCAATTTGCTAAGTAATGACTTTCTTTAGTAAAAGCGATCTAGTAGCATGATTTCTTTTAGAAGAGAGAAACTGTTTTTCCAAGTCCAACTGGGCTTTGATATCTTACTAAAACTGGAGGGTTTTTTCAGTGACCCATATGTTTGTTTGTTTGTTTGTTTGTTTGTTTTCAACTGAACTGAATACACAGGAAAGGTGCTGGTTGGACGAGATTAGAATTCAAAGCCCATAAGTAGTACAGCATTCCTCTTGTAAAGGGTCCACTTCTAAATGTGGGAGATAAATCACTCTTCCCTGGCCAGCTCAACTCTTGGCCTTGCAGAGACTGCCAAGAAGAGAGGAGGGTAGTGCCAAATGTGGTAGCAGTCTTGATTTAGTCGTGTGTCTTCTTACTAGAAACTGAAGTGGAACACCTCCTGTTTAATATAACACCTGACGATGCACAAAACTTAGTTTGACTTTGGAAAGTTTCGTCTTAACTTTATTTTGCCCATGGTTAAGCTGTAGGTTTTTACTTTTACTCCTGTGTTGTGCATGTTCTTAGATATTTAATACGGTGCAGCCAGTATTCTGTATTAGCCTTGTTTTGTGGATGATTTGCTTTCCACCATCTCTTACCTCATGCCTTTTCCCCACAGACAGGTGTATTGTGCGCACCTGCTATAAGGTACTGGGCATCAGCTAGGGTTGTAGCAGTAAAAGACATGTTCCCACTTGGAGTTTATATTTTTTGGACAATACCAACATTAAACAACCATTTATATAATTATTTCATTGCAGTCTTATTTTCTGCTGCAGAGAAGAGAGGATTAGGATTAGAGTTATGAGAGCATTTAACAGGATGACATGATCTCCTTTTGGGAGTCAGAGGCAGTGGAGAGAGATGAAATATGCCAGATAGAGCACATTTGGTGAAGGCTCTGAGGCCAGAGGTAAGTAAGGATCTGCAAGAATGCCTGCATGGCCTGAGCAACCAGAGAGGGAAGATGGCCCTAGATCATCATGTAGGTCTCCTAATCTTGTTAGGAGGGTACTCCTCCTTAGGACAGTGGACAGTAAAATTAAGTTTGGGTTTTTTAAAGATCTATCCACTGCAATGTGGGTGGTGGAGATTGGAGGGGAAGAGGCAGTTATCAAGCCATTGGAAAAGTTCAGGTAAAAATAGCCACTGTTGCATTTTGGAATTGGTGGTGATTGTAAAAATTGAAGTGAATGGATCCAAGTAGCTTACAGTTGGTTAAGGGAGTTTAGTTATATCAGATGAAAAGTTAACTGAAAGTTTGATGACATACACACCTTAGGTGGCGGTATGTACAGTGAGTTCTTTTTCAGTTCTTTACAAGAATAATTTGCCATGTATTTACTATATTTAGAAAAAACAGCTGGTAGTTAAGCCATATGATTAAAAAGTAAACAAATTAAGGTCTATAGTTTCCTAAGGACATCTAACTACAGTACAGATATAAATTGATTAATCTCGTCATCTTTCTAAAATAATAATAAAAGTTAACATTTATTGAGTGTTTATTACTTGCCAGGAACTGCTCTAAGATTTTGTCATGTATTAACTTAATGGGTTGGCCAAAAAAATCTGTTTAGTTTTTTTTCTGTAAAATAAAAGACATTTTTCATTTTTATGAATAACTGTTAATTGGGATATTTTGATTATGCCAGCTATCTCCCATGTGGTGTAATGTTGATTATTCTCAATTAATGTCTGGATCACTATCAACCTCTACTGGTCTACCCAACCGGGGGACATCGTCCACTGAGAAATCTTTAGCATGAAACTTTGGAAACCATTTTTGACATGTTCGATCAGTCACAGCACCTTCTCCATTCACTGAACAAATCTCTTTTTGTGTTCCAGTTGTGTTTTTACCTGTCTTGAAATAATAAAGCATGTATGTCAAAAATTTTGCATGTTTTGTTCTATCTTTAATATTAAAATGGCTACACAAAAAGCTGTCACAATACCATCTAAAAAATTATTTCAAATGAAGTTCAAGACAATAAAGCACTGTTAGAGCCATCTTACAGAAAAAAACAAACTTTTTGACCAACCCAATACTTAATCCTCACAACAACCCTGTGAAATAGACACTGTTATTAACTCTATTTTGCAGTTGAAGAAACTGAGGCACAGGGAGGTTATGGTAACTTGCTGAAGTTGGTAGGTAGAAAGCCATAATTCGAACCAGTTAGCTTTAGAGATTGCTTTCTTAACCAATAATCAGTACTGCTTTTCTAAAAATAGGATATTGGCAGGCGATGTATTACAGCTGAATTTCCAGTGGAGAAACTGAGGCACACATTTAGTTCAGCATTTCATTTGTAGCCACACTCTAAGTTACAGGGGATCTTTAAGTAGTATTTGAGTTGTCTAACTCCTGCTGTGCAGCTAGGCCTCCCTGTTTTTGTAGTCTGTCAAGTGGTCATCACATAATAGGTGCTTGATCCCTGCCTGCCATGTCCAACACTAGGGACCCAAAGCAGAAAAACTCCGTGTGGTTTTTGCCATTAGACCTACTTGCTAAATAATCCATAGCTTATTTTTATTTTTGTCTGTTATCATGTTTATGCCGTGAGGATGACATATTTTTGTATTTGTTTCTCAGTTTTAGACATTTCTTATTTATACAAATTGTGTTGATTAGAGAGGAGTGCATTGAAGTGTTTGTTTTTAAAAGCCAGTATATATAATTTATTTGTCGGCATTTAGGTGGTGAAAAAGCAATGATCAGATTAAGGAAATAAGTTAAGAGATCTAACTATTTAGTCATTCTTAGAAAGTTGGTGTTTGAAGGGATTTTTATTCTGAAAACTGTATCCTACCCCAGTGTACTAATAAGCTTATATTTTAGGTGGCATGGTGTAGGTAACAAGCATTGAACTAGAAAGTAGAAGATCTGGAACAGTTATTAGCTGTGTGGTCTTACAAAATCATTTAGCCTTTCAGAGCTGTTTTGTTGTGAAGGTATTAACCGCCATTATTCTCCTCTGCTTATGGTGTTAAATAAATGACCTGATTTTTACTCAACAAATAAGTTTTTATTTTTTCCAGGCCAAAAAATGCAAGTAGGTATTTTCTCTGCACTCTCTTAAAGTATGTGGAAATACAGTATTTTTTAGAAGTTATTCTTTTAGAAGTTATTCTATAACCGTGGGCTTTATCTGTCAGTCAGATGAAGTTCTGTAGCAAGGATTACCTAGGGACCTAAGGGTTGACTAGAGAGAGCTCTGTGGTGGGTCTTCAGGAGGCCTGTGAAGCCCTCTGAAATTGATAGGTTTGATGTTGTATGTATGTATATTTTCCTGGAGAGATGACTTAATAGCATTCATTACATTCTCAAAAAGTCCATGATCCCCCAAGAGAAAAGAATGAATGATCTGTAGGTTTGTCATTTAAAAGAGTTTTCTTGGAGAAATTAGGTAGTTTAATTTTTTTAACCAGATCACATTATCAACATTAATACTATGATTTTCACATGGATTTATGCTGGGGTTTTTTGTCACAAAATTTTTCAGTTTATTTTGTATTATTCCTGCTCTTACAGTCTTCATGTCCTGATGTTCTTGTAGATTTACTGCTAGAAAGAAGCAGAAGATACTAAAGCTGGAGATAGGGTAAGGCAAAGGATGTTTTGAAGGGCCATCTTAATAATGTTTCTCAAGAAGTATTTTACCTAGTCTCCTGGCCTAATCCCATCCCAGTGAACCACTGCCACATGTCTCCAGCCTGTGCTTTCTCCTGAGCCCTAGCCCAAAGTCTCCAACTGACCTCTTCACAGACCACATCTACCCTCTAGTGTGTGTCACTTCTCATACCTACTTTTGTCAACAGGCTCAGTATTAACCATTTATTGATAAGGCTTGAAGCTTTGGAATCATCTTTTACTTTCAGACTGAACCTCATAGGCATTGTTCGATAGCGAGGCTGGCACAGACCAGGGAAAGCAGTACTGTAAGTATACAGGGGTGGGCCAAAGGAAGTTTACAGTTGCATTGTGACGTTCTTTTGAGTTAATAACCTGCACATCTTTTCCATATGAACAACTGTAAACCTATCGGGCTGGACAAAAAGTCCATTTAGTTTCTTCCATAAAATGAAGGGCACATTTTTCATTTTCACCAGTAACTTCTTTGATTTGGATATTTTAAGTATGTTGGCTATCTCCTGCTCCTGGCTTCTAGTGGGTAGAGCCCAGGGGTGCTGCTAAATACCTTCCAGTGCATAAGACAGCCCCACAGCAAAGAATTACTTGGCCAAAATATCGGTAGTACTAAGTAACTTAACTACTTTTGACCCATTGCATCAGTTACAGCACCTTCTCCATATACTGCACAAATCTTTTTTTGTGTTTCAGTTGGGTCTTTACCTTTCTTGAAATAATAAAACATAATATGCTGAAAATGTTGCATATTTTCTATCTTCAATATTAAAATGGCTGCACATAAATTAACCAATTTTTGTAAGTTTTTTTTAACGCACGGTGATATGACAGTTATCACAATGCAATCTAACAAAATTGTTATGGATGAAGTTAAAGGCAACTAAGTAATACTAGCCATTGTATGGGAAAAAACTCAATGAACTTTTTGGCCAACCCAGTACTTTTGCACACCTCTGTATTAAACGCAGAAGTCTTGTGGTCAAGAAACCTATTCAACTTTGCTTAACCTAGCAAACTCCAGACTTAATTCGACTATGGGGTTTTCTTATCTGTCATACCTATTGCTTGTCCTTAGAACTAGTGCCTTGTAGAACATGCTTTGGAAATGTTGATATTTATTTTATTTATG